AATATGTCAAAAATTATACATAATCCGTGACTAATCTTTTTGTTGGTGACGGCTTTGTGAGCCTGATGTTGTTATCAGTTTGGTTGTACTTGTTGCGTTCGGGGCGGGTCGCTCGGATCCTTATAAAGAAGCGACTGTCACAATACGTGGAATCAGTTAGCTAGGCGCAGACGTATTCGGTTCGCGGTGCGACGTATTTTTGTTTTTTCATTTTTTCGGCATGACTCCGACTCTGCTTCACCATGATATGGCATCTTTGAAGATTAATTTCACTATTATCGTGCAATCTCTTTGTATGACCCGTCGTAGTTCTTTTTTTTTGAGAAAATAATATTTTTGTCTATTGAAGGAAACTTAGTCGATTTACGCTGATTTAAAATCTGTTGGAGAAGCCTCGATCGATACACATACACTATGCTGAAATATGAAGCTGCATATCGTAAAAGGCTTGTTTAGGAGTTTGTTGGTTCATCTTTTTCTGTTTCTTATATATTTTTATCAAACGCATTGTTTGTTTTAAATAAATTTATTTGTCTTATCATGCCTTAGTTACGGAGGAACGCGGATAAATGTCCAATGATCTGTATTTTTGCATAATTATATTTGTGTTATCATGCCTCTTTTAGGCAGAAATGCGGATATATATATGTATCACAGATAGTTTGTATCTTTGCTTAGAACTCAGAGAAAATTATACAGTTTACTAGAGTTGCAACTTATATTTGTAGTTTCCTGTCAAATTGATAGTGTAGCGTATTTCAGTTTTCTGAATGATTGTTCTAGAAGCAAAATTCTCCTTTGGTGGAGTTGCACTTATATAGATAGTTTGCTGTCAAATCGAATGTATAGTAGTGACCTTAATTTTATGAGATGTAGACATGTTTTTTTAACAGTTGCTGCCAAGCCCAATAACATAAGAGTATTCACTCTAAAAACATGAGTGCATAACAGAGATGAGAAATGTCAAAATTATAACACACAAGAAAACATTGTGTGAAGTTTTGCTGTATAGGTATATCGAAAGACTGTATTACAAATGATTAAAAAGATTTCTCAAGTTTAAGAAATATGGAAAAAATATGTTAAAAATAATACATAATTTGTGACCCATCTTTTTTGTTGGTGGCGGCTTTGCGAGCTTGGTGTTGCTATCAATTTGGTTGTATTTGTTGCGTTCGGGGTGGGTCGCTCGGATCCCTATAAAGCAGTGACTGTCGTGATACGCGGAACCAGTTAGCTAGGCGTAGACGTATTTGGTTCGGGGTGCGGCGTGTTGTTGCTTTTTATTTTTTCGGCACGGCTCCGACTCTGCTCCACCACGATATGGTATCTCTGAAAATTAGTTTCACTATTATCGTGCAATCTCTTTGTATGGCCTATCATAGTTCATTTATTTTTGAGAAAATAATATGTTTGTCTATTGAAGGAAACTCAGTCGGCGTACGCTGTTTTGAAATCTGTTGGGAAGGCTTGATCAATACACATACACTACCCTGAAATATGAAACTGCATATCATAAAAGACTTGTCTACGAGTTTGTTGGTTCATCTTTTTATGTTTCCTATATCTTTATCAAACGCATTGTTTGTTGTAAATAAAATTTTTTGTCTGACCATGCCTTAGTTACGGAGGAACACGGATAAAGGTCTAATGGTCTGTGTTTTTGCATAATTATATTTGTGTTATCATGCCCCTGTTAGGCAGAATGCAGATATATATTGCAGATAGTTTGTATACTTGCTTAGAACTCAGAAAACATTATTCAGAAAACAAATTTCTCGTTTGCTAGATTTGCAACTTATATATGTAGTTCCTTGTCAAATTGATAGTGTAGCGTATTTTAATTTTTAGAGTGATTGTTCTAGGAAGCAAAATTCTGCTTTGGTGGAGTTGCAACTTATATAGATGGCTTGCCATTAAATTGACAGTATAGCAGTTTTTACCACGGTATAACAGTGATCTCAATTTTATGAGATGAATACATTTTTTTCACAGTTGCTGCCGGCACAATAACAAAAGAGAATTCACTCTTAAAACATGAGTGCATATCAGACATGAGAAATGTCACAATTATAACGCACGAGAAACGTTGTGTGAAGTTTTGGTGGATAGGGATATCGAAGGACTGTATTTCAAATGATTTAAAAAAATTCTCAAATTTAAAAAATATGGAAAAAATATGTTAAAGATTATACATAATTCACGACAAAACTTTTTTTTGCGTCGGCTTCGCGAGCCTGGTGTTGCTATCAGTTTGGTTGTACTTGTTGCATTCGGGGCTGATCGCTCAGATCCCTATAAAGCAGCGACTGTCGCGATATGCGAAACCACTTAGCTAGGCGTAGACGTACTCGGTTCGGGGTGCGGCGTCTTGTTGTTTTTCGTTTTTTCGGCACGGCTCCGACTCTGCTCCACCACGATATGGTATCTTTGAATATTAGTTTCACTATTATCGTGCAATCTCTTTGTATGGTTTCTCGCAGTTCTTTTTTTAAAAGATAATATTTTTGTCTGTTGGAGGAAACTCAGTCGATTTACACTGTTTTGAAATTTATTGGGGAAGGCTCGTTAGATACATATACACTGTTCTGAAATATGAAACTGCATATCGTAAAAGGCTTATCCAAGAGTTTGCTGTTTCATCTTTTTCTGTTTCTCATATCTTTATCAAACGCATTGTTTGTTCTAAATAAATTTCTTTGTCTTATCATGCCTTATTTACGGACGAACGAACGCGCATAAAGGTCCAATGGTCTGTATTTTTGCATAATTATATTTGTGTTATCAACTTATCATGCCTCTGTTAGGCAGGAATGCGGATATATATCGCCGATAGTTTGTATCCTTATTTAGAACTCAGAGAACATTATTCAGAAAACAAATTGTTGTTTGCTGGACTTGCAACTTATATATGTAGTTCCCTGTCAAATTGATAATGTAGCTTATTTCAATTTTCTGAGTGATTGTTCTACGAAGCAAAATTCTCCTTTGGTGAAGTTGCAACTTATATATATGGTTTGTTGTCAAATTGAGAGTATAACAGTTTTACCACTGTATAGCAGTGATCTCAATTTTATGAGATGCAGACATGTTTTTCACAGTTGCTGCCGAGCCCAATAACAAGAGAGGGTTCACTCTAAAAACATGAATGCATAATAGAGATGAGAAATGTCACAACTATAACACACGAGAAATGTTGTGCGAAGTTTTGGTGGATTGGGATATCGAAGGACTGTATTTCAAATGATTAAAAAAATTCTCAAGCTTAAAAAATATGGAAAAAATATGTTAAAAATTATACATAATTCACGATGAATCTTTTTTATTGGCGGCGGTTGCGTGGTGTTGTTATCAAGTTGGTTGTACTTGTTGTGTTCGGAGTGGGTCACTTGAATCCCTATTAAACCCTTTAACAGTCGCGCAAAGGGCGCCTCCTCGTGTATGCCACGTCGATGGCGTGGGTTGGGCAGAAAAAGATACTGGGTCGATGGCGTGTCCTCATTCCCCAATCCCCATCCCTCCCTCTCCCTCTCCATCTCCCTCGTCTGCCGCTGCCCTCCCCATAGCCGCTACCACCACCGGCGCCCTGCCCCATAGCTGGCGCCCCCACTCCTTCCCCCTCCCCTTAGGCTATCCCCACCACTGATGACCTCCTTGCCTCCTCCTCGCCCCAGATCAAGCAGCTGGTCCGGATCCGATGCAGGCTCTGGCACGCCCATGGCTCTGCTTCCGCCATCGGCCGGAGGAACGCAGACGGAATATGCCGTCGCCATCGCACATTCTTCCTCCTCCGCTACCGGTCCTCTGCCCCTCCCCTCTTCTCCCCACGGGATAGCCAAGGGCCCACCTTGTGCTCAGGGATGGGAAAAAGATGGAGGGGCCGCCGGCAGGTGTGGATGAGGAGATCCACCACAAACAACCTGAGGTAAGATGCGAAAATGATGCAAGGTCAGATGTGGATGGGGTAGGGGGGGCTCTGCCGTCACCGGAGATAGAGGAAGCAACAATTTTTTTTCCTGCCGACTTCTTGCTTATTGATGCTACTGCAGGTTATTCGCCTGTCCATGCTGCTATTATAGAGGCGGACGCCGTGGCCGCTGTTTCCTCTGCACACGCATTGGCCATCCCAGGTTTATTGATGGTTCTATTTCATTCATGTGTCTAGCTGCCCACATATTGTGTTTTCTGGTCATTTAGGCTCGATTATGAATTGAAACATGGCACATCACCCATCGCGTTGGTGAAGAAAATGCTTTTTTTTATTAAAATAGTGAAGTGATCTGGGCTGCAAAAGCACGTTCACAACTACACCAGCAAGATTCCTATGTTCCTCTTGTCGATTCCCTTATTCAGATGATAATCAAGCAATAATTGCTTACTCTATTCTCTCTGGTTTTTTCATGTGGGAGCAGAATGTGACCCTATGCGTGGTGGTGGGGTATGATATGATCAAGGTCTCCGAGCAGCTCTGCAAATCAGGTACCCAGCCTGCTTGGATTCAGCAGTACAATCTGCCTGGATTCAGAGTTCCTTCTGACCGCACTGTTTACTCACCTGTTCTGAAACCATAATCGATTGAGATCGTGTGGCATTCTTTCTTGTGCTGCTTTTGTCGATGAGTTTTGAGGTCTTAGTAGTGATGCTATGTGATTCTTGCAGGAATTTATTAACTTAACGCTTCGTTGCATTGCAGACTTGGATATCCCCATTAAAAGGTCAGTGCAGAATCATGTCTTACAATTCCTACCGGTGCTAGCTCTTTATTTGGAGAGTAAATGTTTGCTCAGGGATACATTCATAGAGTTCCTGAGCGCAATGATGTGTCACCTACAGGAAGAAACTGTAGTCAAGAAGAACGTGATCATTTGAGAAGTATGATAAGGTACAGGTCATCTTGTAAGAACAAGTAGTTAGTTATAATAAGAAAGGGTAAAGATCTATTAGGAAAACATGGAGCTGAGTCGACTCATATTGTTTAGGTACATAACATTCAGCCTGAAATGGTGTTGGTGTTTCGCAAAAAGTATGGCCACTTGAACCTGACTTTTTCTATTGGAGAGCAGATCAGTTCTGATGTAAGTGTTGTACTGTTGAAAACTCATAAATATCTTCTAGAAATATTCAGCTTGTTTTGATTTATGGTTGTTCATATAGTTGGCTATAGACTACATTTTTCTTGTCCTACACTTCCTTTTCCTCCATGTTAAAGTTTGCAACATGGAAAATGTTCACAGGCTTGATATGTGCTTCTGTCCTTCTCCAGTGTAGATTAAAAAAATATAATGTTTTCTGATTGTTATTTATTTCCTATTTTTGATTCATGGATGACAGTAATCTACCTACCAACGCTCAAATGGTTCCAAGAAATTGGTGAAAACAAGTGATGTGTTTTCAATCTTTTGATGTGTGAAGATGTGCATCACATGTCAATGTAAGGAGAAATGGAAGGATTTATGGCAACATCCAACAATTTTGTTGCTTACTTGTACAACCTATTTTTTATTAGGTGATATTCGTTGGAATATACCTATGTATCACACATACTACAAGGAGACAAAGTCTTAATTAATAATTGGAACCTGTAACTCATATATGTCCTTTGTTGAGGATGATTTTTTTGTTTTATAGCTCAGACTGAATTCTATGATCCTATCCAAGCCCTGTTCACTGGCATTGCCTGTTGATTCCCTTCTCAGAACAGAAGATCCACACTAAACATAGCATGTCCATCAGAGGAGCAAATGTTGTTTATCACTGCATCTCTTCACATGTTGGCAAGCCTGATATCTATGAAGGTACACCTTTGTGCTTGGTGGTAAACTTGTTTCTTATTCACTTATGTTCAGCATTTCCTTGATCATTTTGTAATATTATTTTTGTATTTTTCTCTGCATTAAGATTGATGCATAGTCTGGTACTTAGAAGAAAATTTTGTCCATGATTTTCTGCTGGGTTGATTTTGACATTAATTTAACAATGAGTACTTAAATTGTGATATTTCGAAGTGCATGCGAGCTATATAGGTACGCTATTATTCGGTTTGAGCTTTATGGCAGAAATTAGCTTCATGTTTCTCTGAACAAACTAGGCACTATACAAGGTGGTGGCGCCGTACCTGCTTGGTGCGGACAGGAGAAGATGCAGGGGCTCCGCTTCTCGACCTCGTCGACATCATCGTGCCCCTCCACCGCTGGTTTTGTTACTCAGGCGGCACTACGGCTCTACTATGGCAGGCCTGCTTGTGGCTCAGGTGGGACTGCAGATCTTCCGAAGCTTCTTTTTTTTGTGCTATCTCGTTATTTTGTTTGTTTTGTGGCCGTGATTGGAAAGCTTGCTACTCCTTCTGAAGTATCATTGTTGCTGCTTGATTTGTTCCACTTTCTTTGGGATTATCAGTTGGTGTGCTTGTAATATTAATTTATTGCATCGAGCATGGAGTATCCTTTTTCTCTTGGAAAATGTTTGATCCTAGGGCTTTTTACTTGCATATACTAGATCAAATGAAGTTCATTAGGAGGGACGCAAAACAACCAGGCATGATCTACCACTTTGCTCCTAACCGCTTGAGCGAGGCAATGGGAAAGGCGAACACAACTACCTGCCTCCTTCGGGCAACACCGTTGGTCCCTGCCACCTCCGTCGTCTGCTCCGGCGACTAGCGGGTGGGGACCCTGGGGGTTCGGCTCCGACTGTAGATAGAGTTACAACTTAATGTTTTCCATACAATTTCCTATGTGTACCTATGATCTGTGGAACTCCGCCTTTGCTTTTTGAGACTGCTAAATCTTCTGGTCATGCATCTCTGATCAAGACTGGCCCTTCTATGTTAGCAAACCTATTAGTATCTATCAAACTATCTTCTGCTTTATGAATGGACACCGCTTGTTGATATTTCTAGCATATACTTGATGAAATATGCATAAATATGTGTTCTTTATTATAGGTTTACAGAAGAATCAAGGATCAGTTCAATGGGAATTGATGAATCCCAGCGTTTCTTGCTTTTTTCTGTTATTAGAGAGTAGGAAACGTTGACACTTGAGGAATCGCCATGGTTATTTACGCATACCAAGGAATCCTACCAAGAGAGCCTTGGTGATGGGGTCACAAAGGACAGCAGCAGCAGCAGAAAGAACATTAACACCTCTATCTGAAAAACATCACTAATTGTTAGCTTTTGGTAGGAAGACATGTACGTAACCTAAGATCAGAGTTTAACTAGATATATATACAACCTAAAGCAAATCAAGGTTCAGAGAGGCACACTTACCTTTGGCAGCAGCTTTTTCTTGCTGTTGATGTTGATGAACACAGCAGTCACACGAATAGATAAAGCATACATAGAAGGAGGAGTTGTCCAATAAAACTGACGCATGTTGACAGTTCATCGAGTTCTCTTAAGATGATATAATTGTTTGGTAGACGCATGGATGGATGGACACGTACAGCTAGCAGCCTAGCAGTAGTGCTAGTCACAAAAGAAAAACCTTGTGATTGATTCATGGTCATGGCACAACAACAATGGATACTTGCTAATTGGTGATGGTGGTCGTGCCGCCGCCGCCGCCTTCGGCACCATCCCAGCTCGCAGCCTCAGTCGATTTGCTCTGCGTCTCCAACCGTCCAAAGATCCCAACCCTATCATCGTCTCCTACCACGAGCTCGGCAACGAGATCGGACACGGCAAGTTCGGCTCCGTTCGGATCTATGGTAGGAAGACCTGTGAAATCCAACTCGCCGTTAGGCCTTTTCTGTCGCCTTCTCTCTGGTGGTCTTGGTTGTTGACCATGGTTGCCTTGTTTTTGTGCTCGTACAGCCGTTCAAGAGGTTCGTGCTGATCGGGTGGGTGGCCCTGGTGAACTACGGCAAGGACTACGGCCGCCTCGTCGTCATCGTCGACGTTGTTGACCAGAACAGGGTGAGTTTGATCCTCTTCCCTGCTTCCTCCTGTCCTGTCATTCTCGATCTGCTGCGGCGGAGGAGCCTTTATGGACGTAGTGATTGAGATCGTGCTCATGTTTAGTTTAGAATTTCTTCTCTGCGTGTCCCTCCCTTGGCTGTAGATTTGAGCTGTTCAAGGTGTGGACTTCTGTATATTTCCAAGTAGAATTGTAACTGCACGGATATCATATTCTTGATGCAAATTTCTGATATTTTTCGTTAGCTTTTACTGTAACTCGGTAACTTTGTTTTGCTTTGTTGCTAATAACTTGGTTGTGATTCGCATCCTAAAGTCCCTTAACTTCGATTGCATATATAACTAGCCTTTACAACTTGTACGAATTTGGAAGTGATTGTTTATTTTACATGCCATTTGAAGTTTACACTTGCCAAGTAATATTGCATGCTCTTGTCAGTGCAGTTATTCTGCCAGAACTTGTTTAATTTTTGTATTGACTCATCTCTAACATGTGACCCTTTATCCACCCTGGCAATGTTTTTATTTGTATATGTTTAGCTCACCTGATCAGCCCCTAATGTGCCTTGCGGCCTTGCCTAAATGTGTGAATGACTACTGAAAATAAACAGCCAGAGTGCTATTGCTCAAATATATGCGATGTGTTTTGCCATTCAATATTTATTATTGTTTTCCTTGTGAAATAAATAACTCCAATATTCATTTCATCTTCCATGAGTTGTGATGCCTTCATCTCTTTATGCTTCTCATGATAGCTGCATTGCTCTGTTATACACTTATACCACTGTTTATTGGTATATCCCCAAGAACGTCGAGGACACGGTCCACCGCGAGGTCGAGATCATGCAACACCTCTCGGGCCACCCCGCCGTCGTCACGCTGAAGGCCGTCTGCGGTGGTTGCAAATCGAAGGTGATTGTGTGGCGGCCCTCTCTCCTTCCAATCCTCTCTCTACCATTGGAGCAAAAGTTGCGGACATCTTGGCGGCGTTGGCAGTCGCAGCTGGGCGTGGTGTGGAGCGGGCATGCCTCTGTGCTGCGCGTGCTGCCGGTGGCATGCGTGTGTGCTAGATGTCGTGGTGTGCGCATGTTGTGCTTGCGCTAGTGTGCGTGGTTGAATGGTGGTGTGTGCTGATCTTTCGATTGCTTTTTCCCTGCAGCAGCTGAAAGGGACAAGGCGATTGGGAGTCAGGGACTACATATCCCTCCTCTCCTTGATTTTCTGTCCAAAATATAAGGTAATTTGTTTATTAAATCCCATATGTGCTAAATTCTAAAGCCTCTAAACATTTCTTGGTCTTATGTGCCTGTTAGATTTTACTGAAGACCTTGTTGTCTTTGTGCTTTACCAGTGTGATGAAGTTCAGCACTATGGCTGCCATTATGTGTTATGTAATGGTTAAAGCTGACCATTTTGTAGGAAGACGTATGGGTTCTCGTCAAATGCAAGCTGTACTACTGTGAAAAAGTGTACTAATTTTTGCAGTGCATTAACTTGTAAGTAATGTCATTTGGTAACCACAACATCATGTAGTGCTTAGTCCTGTTTTGAAAATTTCATACCATTGTCCTTTCGGGCATCTAGGATCATGGGATTCTCCGTGATGGCAGCAAAGAGACAACATGGGGTGGAGATGCAGGTCGTCAGTACACTGAAGGCGTTGCGTTCTGTCAGGGCGTTGGGTTCGATGCAGAGCATCGGAGACGTTGCCGTTGTCCTTGCACGACTCATCAGATCCAACCCCGGGCCCGCGCCAGCTATGTACGGAGCCCTCGATACGGTGCTCAGTCTCTGCAACTGCAACTCGATGGTGAGTCCATCATCCATTCATTGCTCTCTGACTCGTACGCATTTGAATTTGTTCTTGTTTTTCAGCCTTGCATGAAGCTGCCAGCTATTGAGGACCTCTCTTAATTACCCAGTTCTGAATGGAGTCAGTTGAGGTCGTCTATAAATTTCCTTGTGATGTGCTTGCAAACCAAGACTTTGTTGAGGCTTTTCTGCGGGGTCAGGGGAGACGCCAGTGATCAAGCGGCAGCGGCCTACAGCCTGGGAGACCTGCACAAGGGAGCCGCCAAGATCTCCAACGACATCCTCGACTCTGTCGGGTGAGATTGATTCTTTTGCTCTTTCATTCTCCACTCGTCATGTTGTAGACCAAATAGATTGGATTTATTGGTATATTAGTTTATAAGCATCCGCATTGTTGTGATGTTGATGAAGATTTCAGTCTGTACTCTGTAGTAACCAGTTCTTGCCTCTTGATAGTTTCTTTTTGCAAAGACAATGGTATTTTCTCCAAACTTTTGAACATTTCGCAGACTAAAGTGACTGCATACTGGTGTTTCTTTGCTGCATGTGGCTAATTACTAGGCTAATTTGCTAGAATCTCCTTGAGTAAAGATGAATTTAGGCATCTACGAAACAAAAACTGATTTTTACATCATTTCACGCATTGATTTTTTTCTTCTTGATATGTTTGTTGGAATGTGCAAGAACAGGGTTTCATTATATGCAACAACAAAAAATTTGACAACAGTATACGCGACAAATGGTGCTATTTGCGTTTGCTGCAATCTCCTCATACTTACCAGGGTTGAGTGCCCAACATTCCCGAAGATGGCACCCGAGACGTGTCCTCAGCCAGAAGCAGCGAAGTTGCCGTACAAGAAGCTGGGAGATTCAGATCTCCTTATTAGCGAGATAACTCTTAGAACAGTATGTGCAGAGCTGAACCTTCATGTTTCTGTTGTTGTTGTTGGTCCAGTTTTTTTACATCTTAGTCTAATGTTTACTTCTCTTAGATGATCTTTGGATAGCAAAGAACAGAGAAGGAATCCCATGATATGCTCTCTTATTCTTTTAATCAGGGCATCAACATACTGGACACCGCAGAAATTGCCGGTACACATTCCTTCCTTCCCTTCGACCACCGTCTTATTTTCTGAAGTTGATCCCAGTTTTAATTGAAATACTCCACTTCTATTGGTTGTTACTACCGAATGCAACCCAAGGAGACTCAAGGGAGGACTGATCTATATGTAGGCAGGTGGATGAAATCCAAGCCACGAGACAAAGTACCCTAAACCGGCCTTATAATTTATTTGCAGTTTTGTAATCCATTTGGAGTTCCCTGATTCCCACTTCAGATAGCATGCTTCTGAATCCATTTGTCGTTCCCAGCTCACTATGTTTCCGACTAGACAACTTTAGCCACCAAAATTTCTGGTTATTCAGATCACATTTTTCATCGGTACAATGCAAAAAGGTGTGTGTTGATGATCCCATTATAAAGGAAAGTGTCGAAAAGAGCCTTTCATGCTTATCTAAAGACTACACTGATTTTCTTCACATACACTGGGTAGTGTTTATTTCAAAGATTATTTTTGCTCAGAATAATTTTCACATCTTGTTCCAGATTGATTCATACACAATCATATTTCACATTTTGCATTTCCTTACTGAACTTGAAAATTGTAAATCTGAGTTCTCTTTTTCATCCTCTGTGAGTCCTTTTGTCGTCTTATACAGACTGTTTTCAGCACACATTCTTCATGTTAATTCTTTCATTTTTCACATAGAATTTTTCATACTTTGTTTGTATTAATATGTCATCATTATTATTTTATTTGACAAAAAAGACAACTTTGGCTCCAAAGTTTGCTTTATGTCTTCAGGCTAGATAGGTATGTCGCACGTTACGGTGAATTCAGTTACAATTCAACCAAATGGAGGCCAAGCGTCCCATGTGTGGATCAATGGAAAGCTTTCAGGAACTAATTGGTAAAGGGAAGGTAATAGTGTAATACTCCCTCTGTCCCATAATATAAGAGCGTTTTTTTGACACTACACTAGTGTAAAAAACGCTCTTATATTATGGGACGGAGGGAGTATAATTTTATTTTAGAAACAACAACCAGATAATTATTAATTGAACACAAATCTTAGTATGGATCTATCTTTCCAAAGGATTTGGTGCATGTATTTTGCACACTCTTTAAAAACCATGTGCATTTTCGTTGTAATAATAGCCTAGATTTATTCTAGATTATGAACATATGATTGTTGTGTTCATAAACGCACATTTGAATAATTCACTCAGAGTATATGCATAAGACAGCCGAAGATAGCAGACAGGTAACCATAAACCAGTATATAATTCCATGTTTGTCTCTTCTAATCTAGGTACAATATATCGGTGTTTCCAATGAAACCACGTACGGAGTAATGCAGTTTGTACATGCTGCAAAGCTTGATGGACTTCCAAAGATTATGAGCATCTAGAATGGTTATAGTCAACTTGTGAGATGCAGCTTCGAAGGTGAAGCGGAGATGTCAGCCATAATTTATTCATTTTCATTCACTGGAATTCCATGCCATCCCTGTTGTTTTGAAACTTATTTGCAGACATGTAATTTAGAGAAAGAGGGAGGAAAGAACTCCTCGGTTGTAGTTCAGATCATCGGCCTGCTGTCATCTCTTTCATAATTAAAATTTTAGTTGAATAGTCTTGGCTTCTTATTAGGTCTTTGGAGTTATGTTCAGTGGTTATCATTCATCATCATCATGAGATGATTTCATTTTGTGGATGCTTGAGTTTAGAAAATTTAGGCTTTGCAGTCCATCATCTCTATAGGTATAAGTCTTTGTAGGATGTAAGACTGCTACTCTATGTTCATATAAGCCTACCTATTAATAATATTTCTGATTTATTTTATAAATGTACATTGCAAGTAATGCATTTTTGTTGGTCCTGTAAGTAATCAAAGTCCACATGAGTTGACAGGCAGTTCCATGTACATGTTCTAATCATAGCGACAAAAAGTGAATGAAAAGTGCGGCCACCTATCTGCCACCGCACATGCACGCCTCAAGCGGCGCCACCCGGTGGCGCCCCAACCACTAGTAAAGCAGCGATTGTCGCGATACGCGGAACCAGTTAGCTAGGCGTAGACGTATTATGTTCGGGGTATGGCATGTTGTTTTTTGTTTTTTGGCACGGCTCCGACTTTGCTCCACCACGATATGGTATCTCTGAAGATTAGTTTCACTATTATCGTGCAATCTCATTGTATGGTCTGTCGCGGTTCATTTTTTTTTGAGAAAATGTTATTTTTGTTTATTGGAGAAAACCCAGTCGATTTACGCGGTTTTAAAATCTGTTGGGAAAGGCTCGATCGATACACATACACTATTCTGAAATATGAAATGGCATATCGTAAAAGGCTTGTCTAAGAGTTTGCTGGTTCATCTTTTTCTGTTTCTTATATATTTTTATCAAACGCATTGTTTGTTTTAAATAAATTTTTTTGTCTTATCATGCCTTAGTTACGGAGGAACGCGGATAAAGGTCCAATGGTCTGTGTTTTTGCATAACTATATTTGTGTTATCATGCCTCTGTTAGGCAGGAATACAGATATTTATCGCAAATAGTTTGTATTCTTAATTAGAACTTAGAGAACATTATTCAGAAAACAAATTTCTCCTTTACTGGATTTGCAACTTATATATGTAGTTCCCTGTCAAATCGATAGTATAGCGTATTTCAATTTTCTGGATGATTGTTCTAGGAAGCAAAATTCTACTTTGGTGAAGTTGCAATTTATATAGATGGCTTGCCGTCAAATCAACATTATAGCAGTTTTTACCATTGTATAGAAGTGATCTTAATATTATGAAATGCAGACATGTGTTTTCACAGTTGCTGCCGAGCCCAATAACAAGAGATGAATCACTCTAAAAAACATGAGTGCATAATAGAGATGAGAAATGTCACAATTATAACAACGAGAAATGTTGGGCGAATTTTTGATGGATAGGGGCATCGGAGGATTGTATTTCAAATGATTAATTTTTTTATAAAGTTTAAATAATATGGAAAAAATATGTTAAAAATTATACATAATTCACGAGGATCTGTAAAATTTTGTTAAAAAATATTATGATTTGTAATCTACAAAAAGTAATCCCAGCCGAACAACAATAAAATTGGCGCTTTTTCGTTTATGTATTTGTTTTTTTTGTATACACCGCGTATGGAAGTTTATTGTTATAAAAATTTCCCTGAATGTGTTATATATGCATTTTGTATGTAAAAAAAGTTCAATTTTTCAACTCAAAAAAAGTTCAACTTTTTTGTGACATAGAAATAATGTTTTTTTAAGCCCTCCCTGGAGCCCATCCTCTGTTTGCTCTTTTGGACGAGAAACGTCCCTATCATCATCTACAAAGACTA